AGGCGAAAGGGCGAAAAGCTGTTTTGACAAAAAATCGCAATCTAAGGACAAAGCGAGATAAAGTAAAAAAAGAACGTACAGGCGTATCGAATTGTTCTGCCTTAGAGTTGGCTCGTTAAAAATTGGTAAAAAAAAAATAAAAACAATGTGTCCAAGTTGTGCGAAATATGACACATAAGTCGATAGCGTACACTTGTACCGAAGTGTGCGGTTTCGTATATTATCCAAATACGATAATAGAGTATCAATGGTGATATCGATGACAACGACGTATGATGATAGTGGAGATGTTGCTGATAACGACAATAATAATTAATAGATAATTAATACTAATAATAGTAATTAATAGTTAGAGTAATAGTTGGTGCAATAACCGCAATAATAATAATTACGACGAATATGATAATAATAATAATAGTCATAATAAAAAATTACCTTTAATAATAGCAATAGTAATAATAAAATAGCAATAGTATTAGTAGTAATAATAATTCTTATTATTACTATAGCAATGGTGATATTAAACGTTTCGTGGTCAAATAAAAATAACTAGATAACGAGCTATCGTCTAGGTAATAATGCGGACCGTACATCTGCTACTCGGGAAACAGGAATAATACTATCAGTTAATTAACGTAATTTCTATTAAAAGGAAATAATAAGGCTTTTCTGTTAGTGCATTAACGTTACCTTATGCATAAGGTATATTCGCGTGTATGTATGTATGTACAGCGGGGATAGAGCTATTATATGCCTGGGTTGCGTCGTGAGGATAAATAATGTGAAGTATATAAATGTACGTGTGTGTGCAAGTATATACTTGGTGTGCAATGTCGTGTTGGATGTTAACACGTTTATTAACGAGCACCAAAAAATGAACGGTGCTTTTGTCTGTTCACATATATATATTTTTTCATATATATATATGTATATATATAGATTTATATATGTGTACAACCGTAATTAAATTTATATATTAAACCTCTTTAGCACATTTACATTACTTGTTTCCGTCGTTCCATATAATAAAATACCAATCGGGGATCCACGGCGGCATTGAATTAATCGAACACTTTTGGCATTTCTTTTTAGTCCCGGTATTTCTTGGTAAGTTTTGTAAAATGAGGACATTCCTCGACAAATTGTATGGGCGTGCGTTTGTACGTGCGTTGCGTGCGCACTCATGCTGCATGTACGTGCGTGCGCACGAAATGTCTCGGCTTATTTTCAATCCGCGCTCGTGAGAAAAGTCCTTGCTCGTCTTCGTGTCCGACAAAGTTTCGCCCATATCTCGCGGGCGATCCTGCCTTAACAGAAATAAGTTAAGTCCGTTGCGCGCGTGACTTTTCGTACGCTGATCTCTCAGTTTACCGTTTAACAACTTCGCAGCACACACTCGCTCGCACTCCAGTCCACATTCTCTCCGCCTCTCTTAATTCTCCCTTTCTACCTCTTGCCCCACTTTTTCTCTTTGTTCCCAGTCTGTACACTGGCAGTGTGTCTTACAGATCCTTTGGATTTGACTTGGCACAAACAACAGAGTCTTTGTAAAAAAGGCACTATTTTTGTAAAGCGAAATAGTCTTGCTCGAAATACCCTAATTTTATTTTCCGCGAAACACACAGATCTCTCTATCGGGTGGAAAGTATTGATGAGAATGTAAGTTCGGCGCGTGCGACCATCGATTTTCATTTGATTCGTCGAACGATCTTGCTCTATGTCTGTCGAAATTTCACAAACGATGTACTATCGAAGCCGAAGCCCGTATCCGTGCCTTCGTAGAAAAGTTTGGCTGCGTGTGATTAGTTGAAATTCAAATCGCTTTCTCTACGTCGGGAGGGAAATAATTATCTAACGTCGAAATTTACAATTTCATAGCTCATCATACGACCTTACACGTACAAACATGTCAACGCAATTTTAATTTGGGAGAATCTTTATCCTGCCATTTATTATATTCATATAAAAACATCAGTCATCAGTCTTATAAAAGTTTTAGTGTAAAAGCATATACATTCTTTTTGCGTATTCCAAAGTCTGAATTGTGCGAATGGTTTCGCGGCGAGGAGGATGAAGTATGCGTGTGGATGTCATGTTAAGGTGAGAATGATCACATGATTAGAAAATGAGAAGGTTTCGCGGAAAAAAATAGTTGCTTTACTATAAATCACGATCATGTTTCGTACACATTGTATAGCTATCGTAATATCCAAATTCGCCGATCCGGCGAACAATCGAAAGTGCTTCACATATGCTTTTTACTTTCGTAATATTTCATTATATAAACCAATATACAGATGTTCTAAAAGAATGTATAACAGTAGCAACTTGTTCATATCGTTTATAATATCAAACTTTCACTTTTCTTACAAAATACATAATCTAAAATGTATTTCATCTCAACCAAAATTGAAACTTCCGCTTTCATCGAGTAAGTCTTTTTTTATGATAAAACTCAAGTATTTGAATACAAATTGTTGAACAGTTAATTTGAATAAAACGTTCTTAATTCTACGAAATTCTAATCAAGAATAGTAAAAAAAGATTTGCACGCGCATCATCGTATTTCCAAAATGAAATTTGCACATGCATCGTCTTATTTATAAAATCAAATTTCCATTATGGAAGAATAGTTTCACGTCCTAATCTAATTGTCGCTATTGATGTACACTGTTCTGAACAGCTATATAGAAGTCAACTGTTGGGTTGTCCTGCAATTATCTATTCTGGTCCGCATGAAAAAACGATGGTGCACCAATGTGCGTATGTTAATTTCCGTCGGTCTGCATACGCTCGTCTCGACTGTAGTCGCGCGTTAACGAGACGGAGCGTTTTGTCCAACTTCGCGGCATCCAGAAGATGTGAATCGTACAATTTACGGTTCCGAGTGTGAGTAATCGTTCACACAGTCCGAGCTCGCTGCTAAAGTTGTAAACGCATACAAATGTCCAGTCGCGCGGGTTATTAACAGTCAGTGGTGTATATTGTATAGTAATTGTATATATATGGATATCAAAATTTTGAAAAGACGTCTACATGATCAAAAAGTGCGTTTTCTGCGTATGATAGAATGGCGATGCACGTCCGCATTCTCGTGGGGATATTTGATAGAGAACAGTTGTTAGAGCCGCCTACAAAAGCGGCGTTATACAATTGGTTCGTCGTATTGCGTTCGCTCCATTTTTGTTCGCCTTTGTTCACGGAGGGTGGGGGGTGTGGGGGAGGTCTTTGCTATTCGAAAATAGAAATAAAATAAATTACTTCGATTAGCGACAATCGAAAAATGGCGTGTAGAGCTGCGTGTCATCTACTCGTCGCTCGATCGGTGAACGACGTACGGCTCCGAAACAGCCTTTTCCTCTTGGCTTCGGCATTAAAATTCATTTCATCGCAAATTTAACGCGAAACGCGATTGCGTTTCTGTTTATATGGAACGTATAGAGATTGTTATCTTAGTGATCCTGCGAGATTTAGCCGTCACTCAACGTTAAATGTGCGATAAAGATACGAGCGTAAGCTCTTTCCGCATACTCTCTCGCTCTCTTATTCCATTTCTTTCGCGCTTTATCTCTCTTTCTTAATTCACTCGCGGCACATATCTCACTCGGATTTTGCTCTCTCGCGCTTTCTCACACTTTCCTTATTTTCATCGAGAGGTTGCAATTCGGACGTTAAAAATATAAAAGAAGAAACGACAGAGAAATCAACAGACGTTGACACAGCCAAATCTTTGTTTATACATTTGCTTCATCATGCTGCTCCTCTCGAAAACGTAACATTGTTTGTCGCCAGAGCCAGTTTAAGACTACCCCCGTGATCGCTGCAATTAGCCTGATCTTCGACTGAACCAAGAAATACAAGTCTTTGAGAACGTAAAAATTGAAGAAAACAAAATTTGTTCGTCCGTAGTTGAACGAGAAACGCTTTCTATCGAGTCGTTAATATTCTCCCCATGATTTTCTACATTTACGGCCAATTGTCTAATATATACAGCGGCCCCGAATCGTGCTTTGCATAAGATCGCAGGATGTCTTAAACCGGCTCGCTTTATCTCGATATTACACAGTGACGTTGTTCCTGTGGCTCTTTCTTCTTCCTCTTCTTCTTCTTCTTCTTGTTTCTTCGCATTCCTCTTGCAGCCTCACATAATTAGGAAGCAATGATCCTCGTCGTACACGAATCCCTCTCTTCCCGCTCTGCCCTCTTCACGCCTCGTTTACCAAACTCAATGAACACTTGGTGGATATTGCGTTTATTGGTGTACTGGACGATTCTCCGTGATCGCGACTCGCGGAATCGAGGTCCTTTGGCGAATGCGGCGAATTCGAAACGTTCATTCCTGACTAACTGATCTATCGTTATCGTAAGGAGGATCGGCGATACCGGGTAATAAAAGCGAAAGCGAGCTATTGTTCGTAACAGCAACGAGATTGTAGACAACGTGCGTTCGTACGCGCGCGGAGATATGCATCGATCATATTCGTCTTAAAAAATCAGAGAGATTCACCGTACTTGCGGCGACCCTACTTGGCCACTGGAGTCGTCCAGTTCACTGTCCTTACAATATTATTACTCGCTGATTGGCTGACATGCGTTACAATCGCAGACGGATACGTGTCCTCCGCATGTATAACTGCAATAATCTAGTCTAATTTTATCTTATTTATAACAAACACTGGCTTTCCGTGACTGTGTAACTCGGGAGAGGAAAGGAGTATAACAACACACTACGATATCAGTGTTAACGAAATGGATTCACGCGAATTGTAATCTTAATGCGACTCCAGCGTAACATATCGTCCTTTTTCGCGTACATGTACAAAAAATACAGCGCGTCTCGTTCAGTCCGTTAAAAATGTACATGCGAGAATAATAACATTATATATAATAATAGCGATAATAAAAATTGAAATAATTAGAGTAATCGTTACGCGATAACAATAGTAATAATAATTGGAATAATAATACTTATTGTTAACGTCGTTATTATTACTATCATTATCATTATATATGTATAAGTGTGTCCGCGGGTATGTATGTATATTACAATGAAATGTTTATTTCATCTATACATACATAAGCAATATCTTCCTCGCTTCCCCTTTCTCTCTCTCTCAAATACACGCACATGCATCCTCTATGTACAAAGAGTAAACAATGAAATATTACACCGCTCGTTAATTTCGGATCCCCCCACTCTCGTAACGAGTAATATCACGGAGACATGTCGGAGAAATCAACAAATTTTATAATCGACGTAGAAAGTCCTTCTTCATCGCCGCCACGCTCGTCCCGAATCGTGGCGCAAACTTTTCGAAGGTGTACGCGTCGCGCGAGTCGCAAACGCGCGTTTATCGCGTACCGTCGCGAACAAGATGCTATCAACCCTCTCGGCACGGCAGAGTCCGGTCGAAAAGCGCTTTTTTTCTCGCTTGTCGAGCACGATAAAATGTGTAATATCACGGAGTTGTTGAACGCGCGCCAGGGGAGACTTCGCGCACTTTTAACAACGTAAGAATATTTTTATGTATTCTTCAAAGTATCCAACGAACGTTTCGCGACGAATGGACCACAGCCGCCGTCCTTCATACCAAAAGGGTTAAAAACCGAGTCTTTTGGAAATTTGCGTAATTGTCAAAATTTGGCTTATAATATAATATCAATTTTGTGTGTTATTATTATTTTGATATTTCGTAGAAATGAACGTACATCGAGTCAATAATTGATTGTTATTTAAAACTACGCTTTGTTATCGCCCATTGTATATTTCATTATAGGTACAAGTGACAATTATTGAAAAAATGCACGACATATGTGATGATATTGCCGTAGATAGGCGTCTGTATAATAATAAATTATAAAAATAAATTATATATCTGTATAATGATAAATTATAGATTTAATACTACATTATAAGCTAATTGTTCACATGAATGCTGAGACTTTTCTATCGCTCCCGGATCTCCGCGAGTCTCCGTTGACAATTGCGAAAATTTACTCATTGTCAGTCGATAGTGTTCAATAGCATCTTGTCGGTGGAACAATGTATATACTTATTTCCTCCACCCTGTCAACTTTAGAATTAGCAGCATAATGTTTCATCTATGTCTTAATTACAGCATCTCGATAGTAAAAAGATAGTAAGTAATGATAGAAACAGTAGCAGTACTCCTTACCAGTATCAACAAACATTAGCAATTGTGGCGGTAATAAAAGTAAAAAAAAAAGAGATAAGACGTGATAGGTCACTTACAAATAAGTTTAAGAATCTAAAACCTACCGTCCGCGTGTACGCGCATATGTATGTTAATATATATGTATATCTCTCTATGTATGTATAAAGGTTCATCGCCATCGTACAAATTTTCAGTCTGTTTCGGCGACACCGCGTCAATTTGTTCTACTATTATACCCTTCTTGCCGCAAACAACGAGAAAACAACGATGTCCCGTGTTCGTTCACGCTATCGACATTCATGAACACGCGCTGGCACATCTCTCTTTCGAATTACACGCATTCGCGCTCTTTATGTGTGTAAAGATATTCTCAACATTTACTATATATACTTATATATGCGTACACACATACACACATATATAAATACACAATATGTACGTTTGTACGTATATATAGAGTTCTCGCCAAGTCTGTTGCAGTCTCGCATTTAATGTCGCATTGCTCGATACATGCCGCCGGGAAAAGTGAAAACGCTCGTGTTCGCGCGTGATAACCGTTCACGCCGCTCCCCCGTGTTTTCGAGCCAGATAGAAAAACTTTACAGACGTTCGACAGCTCGTCGGGAGAAAATTCTACCCGGGGGGGAGGGAGACGACGTTGTAACGCACGGCCGTTTTTCATTCCCCGACAAAAGGCGAGACACGCGACACAGCGCGACGACGGTTGCTATAATACTCTATGTAGTAACAAAAACTGAAGATCCGCGAAAAGTCGTGCCGAGAATTTGCGGGCTACTTGCGTGCCTCCCAACACGCTTATTTTGGTACACGGTAATAACGCAGGACGAGGTAGCCCAGGGTCCGGAAAACGATTAGGAACGCCAGTAACACCGCCGTGTTCGCCCACATTGGTAGAGCGGAGCCTTTGACCCCGCCTTGATTATCCCAAATCGCGAGAGCGGGTATCGTCGTGCCGTTTCTGCACTCGGCGAATTTACTCGGCTGCGAGCATCTGTCGTACAGAAAAACATTATTTGTTCGATTAGTTATGGCTCGAGTACAGACATCTCTTGTACTTGAATCATTCTTCTACGGGAGAACGACAAGTTTCTTTTAATTCTATGATCATTGAACCATGACTCCCTTTCGTCATTTCGCATCTGATCCGCTTAATTTTTTTTCTCGACTTTTTATTCGAAAGCGAAGCTCTTAAGCAGCAGTCCGTTCGTTCGGGGAAAAAAAATGCAATTTTGACTTGAACATGCGGTACGAAAGGACAGACGTGACAATAAACAGATGGTATATAGTCTTACGCGATCGGTTCGCCGGAGCCGAACTCCAGAATCTGCATATTCTGATAGGCGTAATGCATCATGCTGATATATCTGGCCCACGCGAGCCACGGTGGGACCGACGTCGCCAAATAACCGCCTAGGAGCTGCGTCGAGAGTGTATAGAGCGCAGACACGGTGATGCCCACCTGCAGATCTTCGCAGCAAGCGCCCACGAAGAATCCGACACTCTGCAAGACATCGTGAAATTGAAGAGCTGAACGTAATGAAGCCGAGTTAAATCGAACGGTTGAATAACCGGCCACCTCTCTCGCCACCTGGTCGATAACTTTCAAGAGCCGATAGATATATTACCCTCGTGCATTTTGGTGCAAATTTCCAATCTCGGCTTGAGACGAGCCGCTTATACAATATTTAATACTTTCTAACAATGTAAAAATGATAATGAATATACGTTTGCATTAGCGTTTACACGGATTATTGTCAACAAAACGTCCACTGAATATTTTATGGCGTGTGAAAAATAGATATTGCTTATTGTTATACATTTACGGGTTTCACATCGGAATAATTCTTGCGCGTATACTGAGTTTCGATCTCTAATGTCATATTAAAACGTTCCGATCAGTCCTTCGTAAATAACATATGGCTATTTTCCAGGTGGATTACCGTTTCATGTCTTTTTAATGGAACCGTTCTTATTTACCCTCCTTCTTCCCTCCGATGCGCAATGTATATTTGAAACTAAACGCGTACCGTACGGTTCAGTAAGAAAGAAACGTACGAAAATTGAGATTTAAAGCAACAGAATTTTTGAATTTTTGTAGACTATAATTGTACACTGCCCGTTAATGATTCGATCCATTTCCCTATCAAATTTATACAGAATGTGTAATATATCCTATACAAACTCGCTAGGGGAATGGAACGAATTATTGACGAGCATAACGGTTTGTGATATCCAAAATGTCTCGCTTTAACAAATGTTTTCGCTCGCATTACACTTTCTCCGAAAGTTTAGTTGGAAATCACATGTTTTATCGTTTTTCCATGAGCGACAGTTGAAAGAATTACCTGATATTACGACGAGAAAATGGTATTACGAGGGTTACCTGTAGAAATAATTATCGGAAAGATGATCGTTAGCGAATTTCGGTTCAATCCAATATCCGAGCGTTGTTCGAATCAATATCGTCGTATTAGCGGGCTGTCGTATTAGTACATGCCAATAAAAATGAAAATCTGACATTTATCAATCCCCGTGTACAATTATCTCGCGCCGCGTATTTAGCTATCGTGCAACGGATTTTGATTCGGCTCGACGTGATTGAACGGGACATTTTGATACGTGAATCAATCAGAGTCAAAATCCTATTACACCAGAATCGTAGTTTCCGTTTCGGAATGGCACAAAATGGCCATTTGTCCAATATCTAACGTTGATCGGCGATCGGGTAGGAAATTGCGTACCTGCGCGACCACCGTGTTGAGTAGCAAGAATAGGAGCAACATGACGAAGACCGCTATATTATGGAAGCCCAACATCGGGTAACTAATAATATGGTAGACTGCGGGCAGCGCCATTGTCAGCGGCAGCTCGCCCACCATCTTCGCCAGGTAGTAGGCCGAGAGCCGATAGGATCCTGACATGCGTTCCTTGTTGATCACCTCGCGCTCCGGGGGAACTGGAAAGAACATCGTCACCGCGTGTTACTCTCAGAATCATCCCCGCGCTCCGGGTCCGCGTAGGGACGAATCGACGAGAGCTTATGAGAGGCCGGGGGTGATGCTAAGATCGGTTTTACAACCGGCCCATCAGGAGCGATGCGCTTCCCTCTCGTTCGTTTAACGCTTCGCCCCGGGCCGTCTCGCTTCCCGCGGAGATAGGAGAAAGAGACTAGACCGCAACCCCCCCCCCCCAGTGAGGATTTTTCGTCAATCTACTTACGAGCGAGTTACGCGACACGATAATCGATGCCGCGCTCTTCCCGTTTCTTCTCTTTCTCTCCTCTCTGCTCCCCAAAAGCCAATCGGTGCATTATACGCCCGGGGAAAAAAAAGTTTCTTCGAAATCAAACAGATTTTCTCTGAATTTTCACCTCGCCAGACTTTTATTTAATTTCGAAGAAATGATTTCTTTACCTTAACCAAAATTTTGTTCGATTAAAACTGGAATCTCTACGAGAGTCCGTATCCATTTCTTCAAATCTAGCGCATTTAGTGTAGAATCAAAGAAACGTGATTGTATTTCATTTGTGTAACTTAAATAAATATTTTTTCTGGGTGTAACTGTTTTCAGTGATGATCCACTGAGTGACTTTCAGAGAGTGCATTCCCAAATCTTTCAGGATTCGATTGGATCTGACACGGATAACAATACAGGCGCGTTCCATTTGATGCCATCAATTTATTCCTTTATTATACAGGGTGTACTAAAACCACCGGACATCCTTTTAATCGTAAATTCTTTGGAAAATTTCAAGGCGAAAATTCGAATACAAAAATGTCGAGGCTGTAATAGTTTTTAAATAACCAGCGATTATATTTCACAAATGATAGGCCGGAGATTTCTCGCGCGCTCAGGTACGCGACATGACAAGTGATAAAAGTGTTCCTATGAATGTCGCCCTTTTTAGCATAGTAACAACCTTCGTGGCAATGTGACTGATATTGATCGATCACTGTGACAGCTGCAACCATAGACATAGTAAATATAGACTGAGCGTCCCATTGAATAAGCTGAGGCTTGTGAAGAGAGAGAGAGACAGAGAGAAGATTTAAGAAGACTTTCTTTCTCAGTCTCACCATCGCGACAAAGGAGGCGCAGGCACGATTCTTTTCCTTTACGATGATGTAAGACAGAGAAAGAATGTCTTCTTAAATCTTCACTCTCTCTCTCTCTTCGCAAGCTTCAGCTTATTCAATGGGAGTTTATATTTACTATGTCTATGGCTGCAACATTTTGAAGTTACAAAATGTTGCAAATTTTTACTTGAATTAAATGAAAAGGGGCGACACTCGTACACGGAAAAAACAATATAGTTGTCACAAACAGAATTCTGGTTGTGTCAACCAGATTAAATAGTAAAATATGGAACAACTAATTATCTGGTTGTTATAACCACAGAGCAATTGTTAAATGACATTGTTGCAGCAGTGACGATACCTGGTTGCCTTAACCAGACTGCTTCTTGATACTTCAACTATGCATGTTTTAATAGCTACTGCACTATTTAGTTGGCTTGGATAAAATGTCTGGATGTAGTATAAAAATAAGTTGCTGTTACAACTTAATGATTATTGTAAATATAAACATAAATTTAGATAATATTGGTGATTTTGTTGACCGTATCTCACCCAAAGAAAAGTATTCTATTTTTGAGTGGTTCCCTCTTGATTTTAGAGGATTTCCCCATGAAATACGGTCTCAAGAAGATACTCTAAAATGTAGAGGAATACCCTATTACACTGAGGCATGAAATTTTAATAGCGTTTTCGATTTGCTGACTC